TGATCATCATCATCATCATCATCATCATCATCACCATCATCATCATCATCATCATCATCATCATCATCATCATCATCATCATCATCATCATCATCATCATCAGCGTGGCAGCCTTGGCTGAGTGAGACTAGTGCAAAGGCCCTGGACAGAATACAAAACAAAATCCTCCGACTTGTATCAGGTCAGCGGAAAACAACACCAGCAGAAGCGCTGCGCTATGAGACCAGAACTGAGCACTACATCACCTATACAAAAAGAACATGCCTCAAGTCTGTAGAGATGGCTAAGAGATTACCAGACAACAATCCTAGAAAGAAAGCCCTTGATCAAGCAGTCAAGCCTAAAAACCGCAGGAAAAGTTGGTTTCGGATGGGCACCGATCTAGCAGACCACCTCCCCCATGAAGCAGAGAATCGATGGCCGATCAATCTGGTGAGAGTTTGTCCATGGGAGACCCATGGTGAAATCAAAATTTGGACAGAACTGTGAGGAGTAAAAGGAAAAGGTGATGATCTTGTAAAGGCACGTGAAGCAGCTGAGGATGTGATCAAGGAGGTTGGTGCGGATGTGACAATTTTCACCGATGTTTTTATTAACATTCCAAAGTTCCGACAATCTGAAAAACCTGCTGAATCGGAGAAAACCCACTTAGCTAAGAAATTGATTCCCCCCCCGCAAGTCCTAGGTTTTTCTCTTCTCACAAACATTGCTACAGAAGACTGTGCACTGTATAATCTTCAACCTGGGACCCTTCACCTTTCAGATCCAACTGTTCGCATTCAACTCTGACCTCTACCATAACCTTAGTGCAGCCATGACGTCACCCAGAGGAGTTTTATGTGTGGCCATTTTGGTGAAGGTTGGTGATCGCTCTATGTCATTTGCTTCGTCTTTCCCTCAAACATGTGTCGTCTTTGTCTCTTCTCTTTTTTTTCTATGTTACTCTTTAGTACCATCTCCAATCTTCGGCGTTTATATGACCATATTGTGTTATAAGCACAGTAAAAACTTTCACTAAACTAAAACTTAGGTGAAGGCTGGAATTTTGATAAGTTATCTAACGCAGGTCTCAGCTTGCTTATTAGAGTTCGCTGTCCCTTGGGTTTAAGAGAAAAAATACTCACTGCGCAGAAAGTACAGCTCGGATTATAATATAGAAATAATAAGGCAGTGGCTCCCATATGGGGTATGTCTATAATCATCGTTCCTGTGCTAGCCTCCCTATCCTATTATTAAAAACAGTTGCACTCTTGGCTAAAAGCAGGATCAGTAATTATGTTATAGGGATTTTAGGTTTGATTGGTTTTTTAATTTTTTTTAAAATAGTTTTTTTGTTTTGTTTTTTAGGGGGGAGGAGTGGGTTGTTTGTCTTGTTTTTATTTGCTTTTATTTGTTTTGTTTTGTTTAACCTACAACTACAGAGACTGTAATTTTTCGGCTTTAGAACTGTTCTTTCTCATGTCTCTATTCGGTATGTCCATAGAGCTACCATACTCTATGATGCTACTATCTGTAATGAGGGGCAGCACGAATTTATGAGTGACGGGGGCGGAAGGTGGGAAAGGGAGAAGGGGAGGGGGTCGAGTGTATAATGAATTTAGATGATGCTATTTACTCATAATTGGTATATTTTGTATTGCAAAAGTAATGAAAACCCATTGACTTCTTTATTTTGTAGATGGATAAAGTATAGTTTATTCTTATCGAATCTTACGTCTCTTTTATTAAAAATGCATACAGAAAACACGATATGATTTACATGCCTCGGTGAAACTCTCGTCTACTTCATGCCAATAACTGTGCCCTTTTGAATTCATAGAGATCGTCATTGAAAGTAGGAGGAACAGACAGGTTTTGATATCATTCTTGCCCTCTCGACCTATGAATTGTAATAAGTTACAGCAATCAGTTCTTCTGTATATTTTTTTTTTACCACAGGTGTCCAATGCAACCCACCCACATTTTGAAAGGATACATAAAGTATTAAATGAAACAATGTATAAAGGTGAGTCTGCTCTTTTCGTTGTTCGTGAATCTGAACGATGTATTCAGCACTTTTATTACCTTATTGTGCTGCAAATGCGTAAAACTTTAACTAAAACTGAAAGAACACTGAATTTTAAAAAAAAATTTAAGTGCAGTCAAACCTCGCTATAACTGGCCCTCAAGATTACACTGGAAAGTGATCGTTATATACAGCTGACAGCTATAATGTACAGGGTCTGAGTCATGATGGTCACTTACAGGGAACAGATGGTTTCAAATCTGTAATCTTAATTTTGTATCTCCCTTTCATTTCCATCAAAACTGTTATCTATCATAAGACTAATAAGAGCTTTTTTTTTGCATAGACTGAACGTACACATTTAGCCTGGATTTTTTTGCAAGTGAACAGGTTTTGATGCCAATTTGTCATGAAAACGAAAGGGAGATACAAAATTATGATTTCAGATTTTAAACCGTCTGTCGACTTTGTTTTGTATTGTAATGACACGCCATAATATCTAGGACAACGATTCTTCTCTTCGACAATGAATGTTCTTGGACAATTTTATACTACAGTTGAACTTGCTGAAACGGCCGCTCGTTCATAACAGTCGCATGTATAAAAAGCCACTGCTCTATGCCATCCTTGTGTTTTCCCTATGCATGTATTCTTAACAAGTCCTGGTGGTCCCTGTCGCCACGGTCTCCAAGATGGCCACTCGTTTTCAAGGACTAAAGTGGTTGTCTTTGACCGGTGAACGTCTTGCACAGGGTCATAATAATACAAGAAAAGCAAAAACAAAACAAAACTAAAAATGGGGGGGGGGGAGTGGAGTGAGAAGTGGTGGTTATCACAAGTGCTTGTCTTGGATAATATGACATATAGCCGTTGGAGCAGTTCCGATTTTGATCCAGTCGTTGATATTATTTGTGTCCGGCCCTGCTCAGTGGCGACGAGGGGTTTTTTTTTCAGTGTCTCCGTATTTTTATCACATTTTTATATTCTATTTAACTTTAAAGGTCTGTGATAAATTCTTGCTTGTGGTTGAAAGATGCACCTGATGTGATATAATATGCACTATTGTCAGCTTTACTTTTCTCTTTATATTACATTTTAAAGAGAGCAATACATAATTAGTTTAAAGTCTATGCAGGCCTATACATACGTGTGTTTTTACCATTCCTGTACAGCTAAAAAAGATTCCCTCTGGAACCAATAAACTATCATCTTATCTTATCTTATTTTATCTTATCTTATTTTATCTTCATTTTCTGCGATGACCACTATCTGTCCGCAGGTGACGAGAAGCACATTTCGTACCTCAACCTGGGCGGTCTGCTGCCAGAGACTGACCATTATATGACGTATGACGGGTCACTCACCCACCCAGCATGCCACGAGACTGTCACCTGGTTGGTTTATAATAAACCCATCTATCTCAGCCATCGACAGGTGAGTCGGGGGCGTGGTGTTGCATTTTCTCATTCATTCATTCATTCATTCATTCTTTCATCCATTCATTTATTCATTAATTAATTCATTCATTCATTCTTTCATTCACTGATTCACTCATTCGTCCACTTTTTCATTCATTCATTCATTTATTCATTTTTCAAATTTATTTATTTATCTATTTATTTATTTATTTATGTATTTATTTTTTAATATTTTTTTTGGGGGGGTGCCACTGGTAGGTCTTACTTCTTTCCTTTCATGCTGTCGTTTCTACCTGTCATCTTACTTTCTCCAACATTAAATTCCTGTTATCGTGTGAGTGTACTTCTCCTTATTCAAATTTAACTGGAAGTAACTTGATGAAGCAAATTTAAGCACTTTTGAAATTGTTCAAAGACTGCCACCTATTTTTAGGAGAAAATTGGTTGACATAGACAGGTAGACGTCTTGGACATTATCATTATAGTTTTAAAAAACCGCAAGAGGGAGTGGGAATGGTCTTTTGTACTGGTGATTAGCTTGGACAAGTGGCTATTAGAGCAGATTCGACTGCTTCTGCTATAGTGGAAATAAACAAACAAACAAGCGTGGGTGATTGGCGAGTGTGGTGTGGTTTGCTTCTTCTTTCCTACCAAAAACCTATCGTCCTTATTGCTCTTTCTTTTTTCTGTGTGTTTGTTACTTTCTTGTAACACCTCTAATCTTTAGCACCTATATGACCTAATTTTGGTGCAAGTGCCGTAAAACTCTTACTAAAACTAAACTAAAAATACAAACAAACCGGCGTTGGTGGTGAGGCAGTTAGGCGTTTCATTGTCACACGCAGGAGACCCAGTTTCAAATACCAAGCGGAAGAAAATTGTTAACGAGTATCTCTGCCTTTCTACTGGGATGTTGTATCCCCCTCAGCCCGGTATTGGCCCTGACAAGCATAGTCGAAGCCTTCCTCCTAAATATTCTAAATTATGTCTAAGGGGTGGGGTGGGGGGTAAAAAGCAGCTACATTCAAATTCCATTTACAAACAACCCGCTCACAGCCCATTTGTCTCCCTTCAGATGGCAGGCCTGAGACGTCTGAAGCAGGACACCGTCTACAACCCAGTGCTTCTGATGGCGGGAAATATACGACCAACCCAGCCCCTTAACCAGCGCACTGTCAGGACCAACATCAACACGGTGAGCTGACTTACGGACTCACTGACTGACTGACTACTCACTCACTCAATGACTGACTGACTCACTCACTCACTCACTGACTGACTCACTCACTCACTCATAACTGACTTACTGACTAACTCACTCACTGACTGACAGACTCACTCACTCACTCATTCACTCACTCACGCACTACTAACTGACTCACTGACTCACTCTCTCACTGACTGAATGACTTACACACTCACTCACCCACTCACTCGTTTGCTTGCCTGTTTGCATGCTTGCTTACTTGCTCACTAAGTTACTTACTTACAAAGACAAACAAAGCTTAGGGAGGATAAAGGGTTGGAAATCACCTTTACAAATTCCAACCAACCAACCACCCGATCACGAAATACACGAATACTCAAACGAAATTTAAAATGGACAAAACACAACAATTCCACAGGAATTATCTATATGGTGGATAAGCACAAGATACAACAAATAACGACTGATAGTGAAATGTAGATATGTCTGTCTGTCTGTCTGTCTTTCTTTCTTTCTCTCCATCTCCTCTCCCTCTCTCTCTCTCTCTATCTGTCTCTCTCTCTTTCTCTCTCTTTCTCTCTCTCTATCTATCTATTTATCTATCTATCTATCTATCTATCTAT